TGGGGGCACCCTGTTCGTCTTGAGGTGTAAATTTCTGGTTAAGCAGTGTTCTTTTCGGATGCATCTTTATTAACCATCAATTTTCAAGTGGGTGTGATAATTTTAAGTTTCAAACTGTTTGCTATCAAAAAGCTAGACGGTTGAGGAACCATTGCAATCACACCACATGAAAACAGAATGATTTTAAAAAATGCACCAACACTGGGAAAATTTGCCACTTGTTGCTTTGTCGTTTCGTCTCTGTCGCACTCACGGGATCCTCATGCAAGTGCAAGAGAGAAGCATTTGCGTTTCGTTCTAACGGCCGCAGATATTCCGAGAGTTGTTTTTGTCGGTCCATTTCTCCCGCACTCCAAAAGAGCGCAAGAGAGACAGAGCGACAAAAAATACTCTCTGAGTCAGTCGTTTCAACAGTCAGCCTACGCTGAGGGCAAGGGGGTGGGGGAGAATGCCGGGCTAGACTTGGCCTGGCCAGGCTGGGCCGAGCGAGCGTGCGTCCGCGCTGCCAGTAGGATTCGCAGCGAAGCGGGCTGGCGCCGAATTCTATGTCTGTCTCTCTCGCACACGTCAGAGTTCAAGGAGTCTGCCCTTGGCTCGGCATTGTGCAGCCCCCTTACACACAAGATATCTGGTTTAGCAGTGTTCTTTTCGGATGCATTTTTATAAACCATCAATTTTCAAGTGGGTGTGATAATTTCAAGTTTCAAACTGTTTGCTATCAAAAAGCTAGACGGTTGAAGAACCATTGCAATCACACACACATGAAAACAGAATGATTTTAAAAACATGCACCAACACTGGGAAAATTTGCCACTTGTTGCTTTGTCGTTTCGTCTCTGTCGCACTCACGGGATCCTCATGCAAGTGCAAGAGAGAAGCATTTGCGTTTCGTTCTAACGGCCCGCAGACTGATTCCGAGAGTTGTTTTTGTCGGTCCATTTCTCCCGCACTCCATAGAGCGCAAGAGAGACAGAGCGACAAAAACTACTCTCTGAGTCAGTCGTTTCAACAGTCAGCCTACGCTGAGGGCAAGGGGGTGGGGGAGAATGCCGGGCTAGACTTGGCCTGGCCAGGCTGGGCCGAGCGAGCGTGCGTCCGCGCTGCCAGTAGGATTCGCAGCGAAGCGGGCTGGCGCCGAATTCTATGTCTGTCTCTCTCGCACACGTCAGAGTTCAAGGAGTCTGCCCTTGGCTCGGCATTGTGCAGCCCCCTTACACACAAGATATCTGGTTTAGCAGTGTTCTTTTCGGATGCATTTTTATAAACCATCAATTTTCAAGTGGGTGTGATAATTTTAAGTTTCAAACTGTTTGCTATCAAAAAGCTAGACGGTTGAGGAACCATTGCAATCACACACACATGAAAACAGAATGATTTAAAGAACATGCACCAACACTGGGAAAATTTGCCACTTGTTGCTTTGTCGTTTCGTCTCTGTCGCACTCACGGGATTCTCATGCAAGTGCAAGAGAGAAGCATTTGCGTTTCGTTCTAACGGCCCGCAGACTGACTCCGAGAGTTGTTTTTGTCGGTCCATTTCTCCCGCACTCGAGCGTGCGTCCGCGCTGTCTGTTTCTTTGAGTTTTGTTTTGGTCTTCTCCGGAGCACAACTGGTGCAAGCATGCTGTGACATTTTGCAGCCCTTCTGCTGCCAAATTAACAGCAGTTTCCCCACTTAACACATTCATCAGCTCACTATCTGAGTCTGTACTTTTCGACCTCCTGTTCTTGAGGGCCGCCCCCTACTAAGCCGCAGTTCGTGGTGAAGTGGATGTTTCTGATCAGAGTGTCAGGCTAGACTTGGCCTGGCCAGGCTGGGCCGAGCGAGCGAAGCGGGCTGGCGCCGAATCCTATGTCTGTCTCTCTCGCACACGTCAGAGTTCAAGGAGTCTGCCCTTGGCTCGGCATTGTGCAGCCGCCTAACACAGAAAATATCTGGTTTACCAGTGTTCTTTTCGGATGCAGTTTTATAAACCATCAATTTTCAAGTGGGTGTGATAATTTTAAGTTTCAAACTGTTTGCTATCAAAAAGCTAGACGGTTCAGGAACCATTGCAATTACACACACATGAAAACAGAATGATTTAAGAAACATGCATCGACATTGGGCTACTTGTTGATTTTGTCTCTCGCACTTTGTGAGCAAGCAGCGCCGGAAAGCTGGCCAAATGCGTCCTGCAGGCCTGCAACAGTATCAAGTGCGTCGAGTAGAACTCGCCGTCCGCGAACTTGGCGTACCCGCCACATGTTCCCCACGATCACGTTGCAAATAAACATGTGACTGCAACAACAAGTTTGGCAGTCAACTCAATTTGAAAAACTTACACTGAAAAAATCCACTTGTTGATTTTGTTGTTTTGTCTCTCTCGCCCTCACAAGATGTGTGAGAGTTTTTACCCTCGTCGTCTGCAGACTGACCAGAGCTCTCAAAGCAGTTCGTAAGGCCGACCGAGTAGGCTGAAGTGCGGCTTTTGCTGGCAGGAAATAGCCCGCAGCTAAGCCTAACGAGGTTGGCTGCTGGCAGTCAATAGGGTTCACGGTTGCGGTCGAGGCAGCTGGGAGGGCCAGCGGCCTCAGCGGTCGGCCTGCGGAGCAGTTTTTGGCTTTCAGTCTGATTTTGATAGTCGTTTCGTTAATCTGATTCTCTTACACCTATGTTGGTGCAAAAGGGACAGATGAACTAAAACGGCTCCTAAAATCAGTTTGCGGGCTGAATGTGACACAGCAGTTTCTCAAGGCACTCTGGTTGTCTACAAGTCAAGCAATAGAAAAAGGTTTAATAAAAGCAGTTGCCAAATGTTTAGATTAAATACATTGTTTGACGCTTTTTGTTGGAGACAAGCAACAGTTTTTGAAGTAACATAAAAGATTGACGTTTTGTGGATAAATCATGGTTTCCAAGTTTCCCATAAATTATCCTTCCAAGAAACTGCAAAAGTCGATCTGCTAGCTGACCACGTTTCAAGTTTTTATACGAATTATTTCGTAACTTTACTAATCTTGTTAATAATTTTGCAGTTTCGTCTTTTTGCGCACGACCTTCCACTTGAGGCAACAATTTCACGATAAAAGCGACAACATTTTGAAAAAACAGAAGGTCTTCACCCATTGTTGGCTGGCAACACACTACTAAGGCGCAGGTATGTTCTCCCCTCTATATAAACAACGTTTGCGGACGCGGAATCGCAAGATTTAATTGGTTTCATGGGGGGGGGGGGGGGAGCTTGCGTGGCTTCAGCTCTGGACCCTAATCAATCACTTTAATTAGACCTCACACAAGGTCACAGCACTGTACTGTAACACTTTCGCAAAGACCCTACCAATGTGCTAGAGCTCAATGCCAACCCGAAGTAATTATTCCGTGCCCTTCTGATTTTTGCAGGAAACCAGTACTCCCCAGACCGTTCAAGCCAACCCCACTCACACGATTTGGTAAGGTATAAAGTCTAGTGCGGGGATTAGCTAGCCACAGTCTGATTTCGCTTTTCTGGGCGCATGGCAGATCAAGTCCGTGTGATTCGAGTTCCTGCGTCCCTTGCGCTGTTCCTGTGTGCTGTCGTGGTGTTCCTGCTGGTGCAGAACTTGGTTGCTGTCTACCATCACCTATTTTCGGGCACAAAATCTCAGTTCATTTCGGTACATTATTTCGATGATTTATAAATATGTTTAGTGAAGTGAAGTGCAGTGTTTTATGTAGTGGTTTTCTGTGCGACAGTGCTAAGTGCGTGTGATCAAGGCGTCCCAAGCTGTCTCTGCCTCGGATTTTGCTGCCTGCACGAGAAGGTGACGGCAGCTCACCGCATCTTCCACTCCAACAAGCCGTGCTGACTATTGCTCTTTTGCTGTTAATAATTAGTGTCCTCACACTACTTATTTTATTCACCTAAGCGTAAGGTACGTAATGGGTAAATCGTTTTTGGACAAACTTAATACTCTGAACTTCCCTCCAACCTTTATAAGATTAAACGAGTTAGCTGAAGGACTGAAATACAGAGTATTGGCTGTAAATGAACTAAGTACAGTTTATGGTACGAGGATAACTGTCGATATTAATATTGACAACGTTGTAAAAAGGATTATTTTACCACAACGTTTTGTTACTCTGTTGGACGATCTGGACGAATTTAAAACTTTAGTGGAAAAGGGAAATTGTACATTAACTTATAAAGGTAAACTTGGCAACAGCGGTGACGTAGAGTTGATTTTAACCGAATAATTTAAAATGGATACTATTATTCATTTTTATACTTCTGATTTGAAGTGCATAAATCAAACTTCTGAGGGTCAAATTGTCTTGTGTGCTCCACATGATATTCGTTATTCTGGTCCTGGTCCCGTTTCTATTTCTTCAGCAGTAAAAGTCAAATTTCCTAGACGAGAGTTTGCATGTATTATTACTGGGTTAGATGATCTTCGTCACGATTTGAATGTTTCAATTCCAACTCAAATACATTTTGAGGATGTCGATACATTAATTGTTCTTACAATTGAAAAAGGTTTTGAGGGAGACTTGGTCATTCCTAAGCACACTCCCTTGGCAAGCATAGCTATTATTCGTGTATTTAATGATTTTGTTGCGGTTCACAAAGTAAGTCCGGACTTCCTTATCAACTCTGACGACAGCGACTCTAGTTCTGACTTTGCCATTCTCAAAGCTTACAACTGCAAGGACGGCTGTCGACCTAAAAAAATTGCGGATGAGACAGATAGAGCTGAAACAAAAAGCGTGTCTTGGAATTTAGACATTGATGAAATTCCAACCAAATCACTAGGGGGCGATGTCGCAGACTGCGGCTGTGCGGTCGCAGACCAAGTCGGTAAAGTCAACTCAACTCAATACTACTCCTAGGTTTAAATGTTCGTTGTGTGAAAAATCGTATGCTCACAAAAGTAGTCTTTATCAGCACCGCTCCAAAGTGCATTACAGTGAACATTTTGTGTGCGGAATTTGCAAAAAAAAATTTAAAAATAAAGGTAATTTAAATAGACATAAGTTTGTTATGCACAGTGTAAGCGAGACAGAAGACAAGGAACAAAATGAATTTACCTCAGAACCTCTTTCAAGTGTTGCTTTTTCGAAAGATTCATCTCTTGGCGACAAAGTTGTTCGTTACAAATTTAAAATTGAAGGGAGAGCTCAAGCTGATTTAAACTTTGCTCTCCTAGATTTATTGGTACATTTTCAACATGTTTGTGAACATCTTTACAAGGAATGGAGGGGTCTCAAAGCTTCGCTTTATTGTGCAGTTTTGCTCTCAAAACCTAACCCGGCATTAAATCAGAACGAAGAAACAATTGTAGCGCATTTGCGGTCCGACACGTTTGTTCTTCTTGGTGTTGATTCAAAGACCATTGATGAATTAATTCAGGCAGCCTGTATGTCTTTGCTTTCACAATTAGATTCATTTTCGGAGAACGGATCAGGGTGGTACCTCGAAGAGGTGTTACAAGTTCATTTGAATGCAGCGAGCTACAATCCACTCTCGGGTGGTTGCTACTTGCAACGTGAAATTCCTAAATGGATTAAACATACACGGTCTTGTATTGATATACCTCGTTCTGGTAATCAGTGTTTCCTTTATTCTGTACTTGCTTGCCTTCTTTCTTGTAAATACAAAAATTTAGCAGGAAAAAGCCTAGGCTTTTTTCAGAAGTATGAATCATTAGTAGACGTGTCTATGATAGATTTTCCAGTAAAAATTAACCAAATATCTCGTTTTGAATCTAAAAATCAAAATCTTGCAGTAAATGTTTTTGGTGTAGAAAAGAAACAAAAGACGTTTTTCCCTATTCGCGTTTCAAAAAAACGTGGCGACAACATTTGTTGGATCGATTTATTGTTTTTAAACAACCATTATGTTGCGATTGTTGACAAATCTAGACTTTTTTCAGCTACATTATCTAAAAATGGACACAAAAGATTTTTTTGTGACTACTGCGTTAACAGTTTTGTATCTAAAAGAGAACGCAAGCTTCACACAGAATTGTGTCAGAAACAAACCCCTCAAAAAACATTTTTGCCCTCAGATGAGTTTTCTAAACTTCAGTTTTCTAAAATCGAGTACACTGAAATATTAGACTTTTTCATCGTTCTAGATTTTGAAGTCATTTTGCCTCAGATTGGTGTTCTAAACAGTTCAACTACATCATCATCATGGACAAGTTTTACTCAAAAACATGTTCCGTGTACTTTTGCTTTTTGTACAGTAGACTGTCTTGGTAATTTGTACACTCAGCCTGTAGTGTACAACGGACTTGATGCTGCTGTAGTTTTACTAAAAGAACTCCAAAAGGAGGCAGACAAACTGTTGAACCTTCCTGCTAAACCAATGCTTCCATTTACGCCAGGCGATCAAAAAAGGTTTGAAAGTGCGATTTGTTGTGAAAAATGTTCTGTACCTTTTGACAGTTCTAATCCTCCAAACAGAGATCATAATCATTTTACTGGGGCTTTGAGAGCAATTCTGTGCGCCAAATGCAATTTGAAACTTAAATGCAGACGAACGATAACATGTTTGTGTCACAACTTAACATCCTATGATCAATTTATCTTGCTAGAAGCTATCGCTGAGATTTTTAATCCTAGCTGCGATAAATTAAAAATTATTCCCCGAACGTTAGAAAAGTACAGAAGTTTTACTTTTAATAAACTTAGATTTGTAGACAGCTTTTCTTTTATGTCTGCAAGCTTAGAAAAGCTCGTAAAAACCTTGGGACCCTTAGATTTTCAGATTTTTGAACAACATTTCACTAACAAATCGTTGCGTGACCTTTTGAGAAATTCTAAACAAAAATTTCCTTATGAATATTGTACTAGTTTTGAGAGGCTAAAAGAAAAGCAGTTACCTAGTATGGCTAGTTTTTACTCGTCTTTAACAGACGAGACTATTTCACTGCAAGAGTACAACCAATGTCAGAAAATATTTGACTCTTTTGAATGTCAAAACCTGCAAGACTATCTTAATGTTTATGTTAAATGCGACATTCTCCTGCTTGCCTGTTGCATTCAAAATTTTAGGAAAGTAAACTTTGAGTGGTATGGAATAGATTGTTTACATTTCATCTCTGCTCCCTCGTTCTATTATCAAGCTTGTTTGAAAATGAGCGGTGTGGTTTTAGACCTCTTTCAAGATCCTAATGAGTATTTGATGGTAGAAAATGGCATTCGAGGTGGGCTCTCTCAAGTCTTTCAGAGACACTGCAAAGCAAATAATCCTTCTCTAAAGAATTACGATTCGACCAAGCCTACTTCCTATGCAGTCTTGCTTGATCAGAATTCGCTTTATGCAGCCGCCCAATATCATTTTAAAATGCCCGTGGGAAATTATCGTTGGTTGACTCAAGATGAAATCAAACAACTTGATGTTCTAAATTTGAATCTAGACGGGGAAATGGGTTATATTTTTTATTTGGACTTGATATATCCACAATCTATAAAAGAATTCACTAAACAATTTCCTCTTTGTCCTACAACAGAAAATATTTGTTACAACATGCTATCTGATTATCAGAAACAATGGCTAAACGATATGGGTGTTCGTTATCCTACTAAAGGTGTCACCAAACTTGTTGCGTCTCAACTTGATAAAAACAATTTAACTATTCATTTGGCTCCCCTTCAAACTTATCTCAAGTTAGGTATGAAAATAGGAAAGATACATAGAGTCCTAACTTACTCTCAATCTTATTGGCTTCAAAATTGGGTTCAATTTAATATTGACAAGCGTAAATTGGCTAAAACTAAGCTGGAGCAAGACACCAGCAAATTATCAATCAATTCTGTTTTTGGTAGTTTTTTGCTGTGTAAGCGAAAGCAGCGGCGAGTTACATTAGTCTCAAACGAGAGACAATTGAGAAGGCTTGTTTCATCACCGCTCTTTACCAATGCAAACGTTATCAATAACAGACTGTGTGTTGTAGAACATCGGCCTAGCTTTGTTGTATTAGATAGACCCTACATTTTGGGCTTTTGTATTCTGGAACATGCTAAAACTATAGTGTATCGTTTCTACTATGACACTCTAGTGAAAGTCTTTGGGGAGAGGATGAATCTGGCCTACGTCGATACTGACTCATACTTCCTTACAATTAAAACTGACAATTTGTATGAAGAATTCAAGAAGCTCTCTGCTCATTTAGACACTTCAAACTATAACCCCCTTCACCCCTTGTACTCGTTAGAAAATAAAGGCCGTTTGCTTTGCGTTAAGGATGAGTTAGCTGGTCGACCCATTTCTGAGGCTATTTTTATCAAGTCTAAATGTTATTGTATTCAGGTTGATGACGATACTTGCACTAAAAAGCTTAAGGGTGTCTCTAGGCGGTCTGTAGACAAACGTTTGACTTTTGACGACTATTTAAACTGTTTGTATGAGAACCGCAAAATTTTTGTCCAACAAATGCAGATAACAAACAAAGATTTTAAGTTGTACACTGCTAAAAGTAATCGTTTGGCTATTTCTTCGTTTGATGACAAGTCATATTACTTGGATTCTGTAACACTGCAACCCCACGGGTATAAATAAGGTGTCCAGGCCGGTTTTGGCAGTCATATTCATGTCATTTCACCATCCTGGCCTTTGGATTATTTCCGGAGCCAGTCAGAGTGGTAAAACTGAGTGGTGTTGTCGACTTGTTAAGCATGCAAATATTTTATTTAAAAACAATTTTGATCACATAATTTGGTGTTATTTTGATGAAGCGGCCGCACCTCGTTCAAAGCTTCCAAAAACTGTCACTTTCTTTCAAGGTTTACCCGATACATTTTCTAATTTTCCTAAAAACTCTTTAATAGTAATAGACGACTGTCAAACCGATGCCTCTAATAGTAAGTCGGTTCTAGATTTGTTTGTGCGCGGTTCTCACCACAATTTACAAACGGTCTGTTACGTAGTGCAAGTATTATTTCAGGAGGGAAAATACTATAGGTCGTTAGCTCTTAATACACACGTTTATGTGCTTTTTCGTTCCATTCGAGATAAAGCTCAAATCGGTACTTTTTTTCGGCAAATAAGTCCAACTTATTGGCGTGAGCTAACTCGTGCTTTTGAGTCAGCCACAGATAAACAATATTCTTACTTTGTAGTCGATTGTCATCCAGCCACTGTAAACCCTAAATTGCGATACAGAACACAAATTTTTCCAGACGATCCTTATCAAATTCTGTTCTGTCTTCCCGAATCTTAATGGTGAAAGTAAAAGAGACTCCTGGTCAGGTGGCAGACCGATTGCGAAAACACATTCATATTTTGCATGTCCTGCAATCAGCAGACCGACCTTTGCGAAATCAAATCCTTAAAAATGCTAACAAAGATCTCATTACCACGTTAGCCGAATGCAGCCTTAACGTTCTTTCTTCCAATCAGCCTATTTCTGCCAAGTGCAAAAGTGCTCTCTGTAAGTATAAAACAGTGATGCGCAGGCTAAGCCGACCGCACAGCCAAATTTCTTGGAAGCGAAAACGCCGGTTGCTGAACCAACGTGGAGGTTTCTTGGGCATTCTGTTGGGTTCTGTTTTGAGTGGTCTCTTGTCTCGTGTTTTAACTCGATGAAGCAACCGGCTGCCCCCCTTCAAAAGCTTTATCTCCTAAACGATAGCCAAATGAAAAAAATGATAAGCAAGCAGGGAAAAAAACAAGTTGGAGGTGTATTGGATTTAGAGGGGGAAATGAAAAAGAAGCAGGTAAACCGTTTAGAGTCTGAAATAAAACAGCTTTTGAAGCCGTCTCGCAATAGACGTACCTCGAGGGTGGGTAAAAAACAAACTAAACGGCGCTCTCGTCCTCGCGGTAGCACAACCCTTAACGCAAGGGATGCTTTTAAGTATGAAAAATTTAAACGTCTTCAGAACCAACTTCAAAATGCTATTGAATGGTTTCGATCTCGCTCCACCGCTTCCACGCCCATTCACATGCCTGTTTACATACCCAGTGCGGCCGAGATGGGTGAGTCAATCAAGCAGGAAGCAGCAGAGGGGCTCGCGAGGCGGAGGCAATCCAGCTCGCGTGCCGCCTCCGTTGCCGCCGGGCCGGGCGGAGGCGGGGGCCCCCGCGAGAGCCCAGGCCACAAAAGGTCCCATAGCTCTAATGAAGCGTTACCAGTTTTAAATGCAAAAAGAAGGCGTGTAAAATCTGTTGATCCGCGAACCATGTCACTGAGATCTGATAAAAAGGGGAAAATTCCCGTGGACTGGCAAACACTTGAGGAGCAAGATGATGAAGTTTTTCATACGCCTCATAAACGCGAAAAAATTCACGACGACATCTTAGAGTCGGTTCAAAAGAGCAATAAAGCTAAAGAGAAGGAGGCAACTAAAAATCTTGAGCGATTAATGAAAGAATGACCGAGTCTAGGCTTGAGCGCTTGTACTACAACCCTAACAACGCTAGTGGCTTTTCTAGTGTATCAAAGTTAGCTGCAGCAAGTTTGCTACCCCGTCGCATTGTTTCTCGCTGGTTAGAGAGCCAACCAACTTATTCCCTTCACAGACTTCGCCGAAAACATTTTCCCACTAACTTTTATCGTGTTCTTGGACCTAACCAAGTGTGGGAATGCGATTTGGTTATAACGCAAAATATTGCTAATTTTAATACTCCTTTCACCTGTTTGTTGACTGTCATTGATGTTTTTGATAAGTTTGCTTGGGTAGAGCCCTTGCGTAGTAAGTCTGCTGTTAGTGTGTGTTCTGGTTTTGCTCAAATTTTGAAACGGGCAGGCGGTAGAAGACCCCGCCAGCTTCAGTCAGATTCTGGCAAGGAGTTTCTAAACAAAAAATTTCAAGCATTACTTCGTGAAAATGGCATTAAATTTCGTACTGTTTTGAATCAGGTCAAGGGTGCAAATATTGAGCGTTTTAACCGTTCGTTACGTGATCGTCTTTGGCGAGCTTTCTATTTTCAGGGGTCTTACAATTTTCGTAAAATATTACAGCCTCTTGTATATAGTTACAATAATTCCATTCATTCTGAGACAGGCTTTGCCCCAGCCCTAGTTCGCAATAAAGATGTGTTTAATATTTATATGGATAAATATGAGAGAGGGATGAAGGTTATTCGAAAGCCTAGGTACCGTGTAGGACAGTATGTTCGATTATCTATTGCTGAAAGTAGTGCATTTAGCCGTGGTTATACTCAGAATTTCACAAAAGAAGTGTTTCGCATTGGCAGCGTTCAAACCAAACACAAGACAGGGCTCTTACCTAATCCGGTTTACCATTTAGTTGATTCTAATGGAGAAGTTTTGAGGGGTGCTGCATATGCAGAAGAATTAGTCCCCATTCAATTTGACCCCAAAAAGTTAAGTCTTTCAGCTTCTGCTATAAATTGAAGCGATCCGCTTTGCGTGCCTTTGTTGTTCAAAATGAGTGTCTCGTTTGAAGACAGTGAGCTTTATCTGTTTCTTCCGTCTGATAGTAGTCAAAGTTACTTTCCCAACAATACTCTTGCCCATTATACAACTCATTTAGCAAAAGCTGTTCATTTAAATCCCTCTCGTAACTGGGTCGTTGCCTTAGCGAGTATTTTTGTGCCAGGGGTTAGCGAGGTTCAAGTACTACCTTCAACAGGAACAGGACCTGCCACTCACTCGCCTTTAAAAGTTTTTAGGGGACGGCGAGGACTTCCAGGGCCGCAGGGCCCGCCCGGCCCCACCGGCCAGGACGGTCCCGAGGGGCCCCAGGGCCTGCCTGGAGTCAACGGCCGACCGGGACGACCTGGGCTTGACGGCGCTCCAGGACAGAAAGGCGAGCCAGGCTTGAATGGCAGTGCCGGCCCTGCAGGCCCTCCCGGCCCTGCTGGCCCTTCCGGTCCTGCGGGGCCCCCGGGACCAGCTGCATCACGTGGCCCGCCCGGCGTGGCTGGCCCTGCTGGCGTGGTCGGTCCTCGAGGGAATTCAGGCCCCCCTGGACCGGCAGGCCCTGCAGGCCCGCTGGGCCCCGCTGGTCCTCAAGGACCGGCAGGACCGGCTGGACCAGCAGGCCGAGCCGGACCGGCTGGAAAAGATGGTTTAAGGGGTCCAAAGGGTGAAGTTGGAGATGTCACCAAGGTTGTCGGTCCGGCGGGGCCGCGCGGGCCTGTCGGCCCGGCGGGCCCCCGTGGTTTCCAAGGCCTGGAAGGGCCTCAGGGCCTCTCCGGGGACCGAGGACCGGCTGGAGTTCCCGGAATTGCTGGCCAGACGGGCCCTAGAGGCAATCCGGGGCCTCCCGGTCCTCCTGGCCCTCCCGGCGCTTCCGGCTTGCCCGGAAAAGATGGTCGAGATGGCGCGGACGGTCGGCCCGGCGAGCCAGGAGTTGAAGGGGGTATGGGTGTACGCGGGCTGCAGGGGGAGAAAGGCGAAACGGGCGATCGCGGGCCTCAGGGCCTGCCAGGCGAGCGTGGCTTGCCCGGGCCAAGTGGCATCCCGGGACCGAAGGGCGAGAGGGGACTGCAGGGGTTGGTCGGGCTAGCCGGGCCTATCGGCCCGCAAGGACCGCCAGGCGAGCGAGGAATCCCCGGCAATCAGGGCGTCTCGGGGCCAAGGGGCGATCCAGGGGCTAAAGGCGACAAGGGCGACCCGGGAGCCCCTGGCCAGGTAGGCAAACAGGGCGACCCTGGCTTGGCAGGCCTCCCTGGCAGTCGAGGCCCTGCGGGGCCTGCGGGCCAAGCTGGCCCCGAAGGCAAGGCAGGTCCTAGAGGCTTCTCCGGCGCGGACGGCCCAAAGGGCGAGCAGGGCCCCAGGGGCCCAGCAGGCGAAAAGGGCGTCTCCGGCGACCGCGGGCCTAGCGGAGCGGCAGGCCCGGCAGGCCCCGAAGGTGGGGTGGGCCCCGCGGGACCCGAAGGCCCGGCTGGGCCCGTCGGGCAGTCTGGTCCTAGGGGGATACCTGGGCCATGCGGCGACCGTGGATTGCCCGGCGGCAAGGGCGAGCGCGGCTTACAAGGCATCCAGGGGGTGCCAGGGCCGAAGGGGGAGCGCGGCGAACAGGGCGAACAAGGCGAAAGGGGGGGACGGGGCGAAAAGGGGGACCGCGGGGACGAAGGGCAACAGGGCATCCCTGGTGTCCAGGGCGAGCGCGGCTTGCCAGGCGAGCGCGGCCCGCGCGGCTTCCAGGGCATACAAGGCGTGGCTGGCGAAAAGGGGTCGGACGGCGACACCGGTGAATCTGGGCCGGAAGGACCTAGAGGACCGACGGGGTCCTCAGGCGAGGACGGCAGCCCCGGCCCGCCCGGCCCCCGCGGGCCTGATGGCCTCCCCGGCAAGGACGGATTACGTGGCGAGAAGGGTGAGCGCGGTGACCCAGGGCCGCCAGGGGCGGACGGCGTGTCCGGGCGGGAAGGGGTGGCGGGGCGGGATGGAGCCATTGGGCCGAGGGGTGAACGCGGTCCGGAAGGCCTGCCTGGGCCCCAGGGCGTGGAGGGCCCTCGCGGCCCCCCGGGCCCGCCAGGACCAGAGGGGCCTCAAGGGCCTCCAGGACCGCCTATTTCCAGTGTAGATGAATCAAGTTTACCACACAAAAGTGTGCAAATTAAGTTAGGGTTTGGTACAGGGCTTG